GACTTATGGGCGACATTTTTCGTTTTTAAGGAAAAAGATCAAAGAAATGCCGAAGAGTATTCTTTTTTTTTTTTTTTAATTCAAAAAAACTTATTATTATTATTTCTAAGAAATCGTATAATAAATTTCAGATTTAAGTATAATTTTTTTTTTTTTTTTGAATATTTACATTTTATATACGTATAACGTATAATGTGTGTGTGTGTACCTTGAATCAACATTAAAACTAAACTTGATTTTGTATATTTGCGATAATGTTAATTTAATAATATTATGTGTGAAGTTTGAAGAAATTCGCTATTAATATATTTACCTAATTATATACCTAATTATACAAAATATTTTTTTCTGAATTCAAGAATTTTAAGAATATTATTATTTTTGTATTGTGAATTACAAAAAAAAAAGGGTAACAAATGTGTTTATACAATTAAAATTGTTATACATATTTAATGTTAATTTAAATAATAGAAATTACAAAATAAATATAACATTTTCAATTAGAGCCGACACAATATTATCATATCGTTCGTTTGCTGCTGCAACGGTGACATAACTCAAAAAATATGATTTCTCAGTTAATTTTACAGATCAGACCTAAGCGCTCAAGATTTTAAAATTGCGATTTTAAAATTATAAATATTCTTTTGTTTCTTCTCTTATAAAACCTATCTGTGTTGATAGCCCTGTAATTAAAATGTCATTATAAATAACAAATATTCTCTTCTAAATATAACTGTAAAAATCTTAATTAAATTTAATTAATTAAGTGTGTTTATAATTAATTAATATTTTAATTACAAATATCCTTTGCTTATTACTAATTTTATAAAAGTTTAAAGGTATACTGTTATACAAATAATATGTATATACATACACATATTCCATCCGTTCAAAATGAAAAACAAAAAATTAATAAAACATAAAAAAAATTTTTTTTTTATTCCAAAACAAGAAATTGTGTTAAAAAATTGAGAATTCACATATTTAAAAAAAAGAGAAACAAAATATACGAATAAAAAAATATAATAATAATAAAAAAAAATATCATTCAGATAAGTCGTGATTTTTCCATGGTGTCTCTTACTTTTTTATTAATAATATAAAATATGTTAATATACAAGTATAAATATATAAAAGAAAAATATAAAATAAAATAAATAATAATAAAAATCAAAATAGAAAATAAAATAAAAACTGTTATATTTTATATAAAATTAATAATAATAATTAAATAAATTTTAAATATGAGGAAAATCTGTTCGAATTGTAAATAAATTTCTTTCTTCAATTGTACCTTGAAATTAAAATAGCAGAAAGTTTACAAATTAAAAATTTAAATAAATCAATTAATTATTGAGTGTTCAAAAATTGCAATTTATATTTTATAAAATTTTGATTTCCTATCAAGTTTTGAATACAAATTAGTTCGGAAATTTCGGGAAAAATGTTTTGGTATATGGTAAAATTTCTAAAATTTTTGGCTTAAATATCCCAAATTGACAATATCTGAATGGTTATTGAATTAAATGAAATTAAAACTAAATATAAAAATATATTTGTAAACGATATTATATTTTTCTTAAATTATATAGGCATACTTGCGCATTAGTACATAACATCGGCACAAAAATTTCTTAAAAACAACAATTTAATTAATTTTATAAAAATTTTGTCTACCTTGAAAATGTTTACAAAAACGCATAAAAATTCTTTTTTTTTTCATATTTCTTTATTTAATTTTTTGATATACATTTATATATATCAAATCCCATATACAAAATATAATAAAAATTTATAAAATTTTCTCATAAAATATTTTCATAATTTTTCTTAATTATAATAAAATTTTTAAAAATATAAATTATTTAAATCAAAAATATTTTATTTATTTGTTTAAGAAAATGTTATACATAATATGTATAACATATACTGTGTTTAATATATTTTAAAATTATACAATTTCAATTTACTTGATAATATTATTCTTTGTGAAATTATGGTTTATTAATAAGTAAGGGGTTCATATTAAAGAGTAATTATTATTCTGTTATACTTTTTCTGAGATATTTTGTTGTTGAGATTGGATTTCTGTTATTAATTGCAATACAACTATAATTTTAATACACAATAATGCAAACGAAGAAGGGAATATTTATGCCATATAACACTCTGAATTCACTTTGTATTATAAACAATAAGAGAATACATTATACTACTCTACAAATAATTAAAATGTTATTGTTATTTTTATTAATAATAATTAATTGATGCATTTCAGGAGAGAAATCACAAGAAAATGAAAGGAGAAATTTAATATTTTTAAATTTATATTTGAAATTTTTATATAGAATATTTTAATGGATTAATTTCAAATAAAATTATGGGATGTCTAACAGCATGCAATTCACCTAATGTTAAATCGATTATTAAGTTATAAAGATTTTATTACTGAATTAGTAAAGTTGGTGTCAAATCTGTGTTTCGAAAGACGCCCATATATTTTCTGCTTTTTAAATGTGTGTGTTCACAATTATAACAAATTAGTTTCGTTAAATTAGTACTATTACAATAAACAATCGATTCACAACTATATTACTATACTATAAAAAAAAATAATACCAAAAAAAAAAAAAATTTCAAAAAAATTGGTAATGTGAGTGTACTCTAAAAATAATTATTTTCCTGATCATTTAAGACTCATTAGATTTGCGAATTAACTATATTTAAGTGCAAAAAAAAATGTGTTTCTTATTTTCTGGGTTATTAAACTTTTTTTACTACACAAAAAGAGAGTAGTTCTTTTGTTCGTTGTTGAATGACGACGAACAAAAACCCCACAAATAAAACTTTATTAAGTATAACAATTCTTTTCTCACACAACTTGTTCAATTGCTAATAATATTTTTTTTTGTATCCGTGATTAATTACAATAAAAACTTATGTGTTATACTGTTATACATATAAATATGCTTACATATATTATTATAACTCATAGGTAATACTTACAAATTTTGATTTTTTTGTTGATGTTATTTAATAATCTCAGAACTCGGATTTTTTTTCTCTTATTTTTTCTTCTTATATACTTATTATTTACTTTCATTTAATTTTCCTTTCAGGTTTTTTTTTTATTTTGTTTCTTCTTTTGCCATTTGATATTACTTTTTTTTTTTACCGATAAAGATTCTATTTTCGTAAAATAAAGGCAATAATATAAGAAAAAAACAAAAAAAAAAAAACATTAAAAAAAATTTTTTATATAAAAAAAAAATATGAAAAAGATCACATTATTTTTGCCCAGTCGTTTAGTCTATCACAGTTCAAATTGGTCCAGTTCAATAATCTACAAAATTTTTGACCTTGATTTTGAGCTTTAAAAAAAAAAAAAAGAGATTTTTCATGCTCTCTCTTCTTATTCATATCTCCCATCATAAGTAGTATAACATTTTTACTTATACTTAATAATTATTATACGGAATGTTTTTTTTTTTAAATTTTTTGTTTTTAATTTTTGTTTTTACTTATACTCGTATTAAGTAAGTAAAGTAAATAAATTGTTTAATTTAATTACTTTTTATAATTTACATAAACATTTCTTTTTTTACGATTTCATAATAAGTAATTAGAATTTTTTTATTTATTATTATTGTATAAAAGATAAGTCAAGAAAAATATGGAATAAACATTTTTAATTTTTGTTTTTGTAATTTTATAAAATAAAAAATAATTTTGATTATAAATTATTTTTATTATTAACAACACTTAAAACACAAAAAAAAATATGTATAACAGATTACAATATAACATTTTTTTGGTTATAATATTTTAATGCTATTATTACTTTTATGTAGAACACTTTTGTATGCTTGTTTTCTATGCCCCACACTGTTAATATGTGGAGTTGCAAAGTCTTATCAATGCACTGCTAAATACTTAAATACTATAAAAAAAGTACTCTTTACATATACGACCAAATTTACGATAAAGTTTGATAACTCTTTTTCAGACTAATTGTTAGTATACATATTTAATGTATTGAGAGTATATTAATATATATTGAGTCTCTCAATTTTATTTTTTGTCTCCAAAAATTCTTATGTTTATTATTTTATTAACAATATTAAGTATTAAACATTATCCATAGTTTATTGACATCTCTTATTTATTCATATACTAATATATATACTATGTTATAATAATATGCTTGAGAGCCACACACATTGTATTCACCATGTAGTTAATTATTATACATATTGTGTATACTTGTATAAATACGTATTAAATCGTCGTCTCTCCTTCCATTATGCTACCTTCCAAAGAATTGGACAAGAGTAAAAAAAATTCAATTCTTTTCTCATACAACATTGACGATACTGTTGAGAAATTTAATTTACTTAACTTGTGTTAAAAAAAAATAACAGGTTTTGATCTATTTTGCGTAAATTATTTTTTATATTCTTAAATAATAAAAAATTTTTTTTTTTTTAGTAATATAGTAATTTTCCACTATGAATTTAAAATACTGAAATTCGGTATTTATAAATATTTTATTTATTATAATGGGAGAGCAAAACAAGCAGAAAATAAAAATTATAACAGATTAAATGAAATTTGAGATCACATATAAAATATTGGAATACATTTAAAATTTATTTAACAAAAGCTTTCATTGAATATTTATGAATGTTTCAATGTTAACTCGCGTGCGACTTATTTGAAAAAAAATCGACTTTTTCTCAACTAATTTATTAACTATAAATTATTAAAAAAAAAAATAAGAAAACTCAGAAAAATTCAAAACTCTCACACATAATTTACTTGAATAAATTGTCAAATTTGACACAAATTTTTCAATTTTTTCTTTTAAATAATAAAGACATAATCCATTTATTATAAAACTTAATATTATAAGTATACTTTGTATGTTTTTGAATATACTTCATAAATTTTAATTTAAAATTATATTAATAATTTAAATTCTATTATTTTTATTACAGATTAACGGTCAACAACAGGTGCTATCTAGTACAATGCCAGCTATGCCAAAAGAGAAGCAAACTACCCCAATATCATTAGATGAAAATAATTTTGATGAAATTAAAATGAAAGAACAATTAAATATATCAAATACATCAAATACATCAGCTGTATCATCAGCATCATCAGTATCACGTTTATTAAGACGTTGTAATAGTAATAATTTACAACAATCACAACAACAACAATGCTGTTGTCAATTAGATGATTGTTGTCCAATATTAGCAACATCAACAGCAACTGGATCAATACAAGATCATCATAATCATTATTATAATTCAACAAATAATAGCAATAATATACAAAATAATTCTTCTACAATTAATAAAATGAATAAACAACCACAACAGCAACAACAACAAAATATACAATCATCAGAACATTGTTGTATAATTGGTTATAAAAGTTCAATTGTTTGTCGTGGTTATAATATGAATTTATCAAATAATTGTAATAATTCATCATCAACAATAACAACATCACAAATACCAACAACATCAACAACAGTTATGTCATCAACATCATCATCATCATCAGCATCATCAGCTACACCAACAGGATTTTCATTATGTACACCACAATTATTACCAACAACATCATCATCATCATTATCAACAACAATATCATCGTCAACAATAACAAATATTAAAAATATTAGTAATAATAGTAATAATAGTAGCAGCAATTGTAAATGTAGTAAAATTAATAATTTAAATGAAAATAAAATGCAATATCAATATTATAATGGTGATTCACAAACAACAACAACAACAGCAACAACAAATAATAAAAATCAATTTGATAAAATAACATCAATAAATAATAGTGGTAATAATAGTGGTAATATTAGTAGTAGTTGTAGTTCAAATACAACAGCACAATCATCAATTGTTGCAACGGCGTCGGCTACAGCAACATCATCATCATCCTCGGCACCTATAACTTCAAATATAATTGCATTATCAGTAGCAGCAGCAACATCATCATCATCATCATCATCAAATGATGGTTTAAGACAAATGAATGGTCTTAGTCAACAACAAGAAATGCAGCAGCAACAACAACAAAAACCCCAACAGCAACAACAACAATTACCTAAGAAAACACCAAATGATTTTATTTTTGAACAATATCTTGGAGAAGGTAGCTTTAGTACGGTATATCATGCCAAAGAAGTTCGAACGAAAAAAGAAGTTGCAAGTAAGTGAAATTTTTAATTACTTTTTTTAATTTAGAGAGCATACATAAGTCCTGTATTTTATTTTGAGCAAAAAATTTCTGAATTTTTCTACTTTAACAACTTATATTTTTATTGCAATAATAGTGTTATGCAGGGTAACAACAGAAATTATTTATAATCTAAAGTGATTTATTTTTCTTATAAATTTTTTAGAATTTTATCTTGCACACAACTCCAGGTTAATTTAAAGTACAATAGTTATTATTTTATATAAATAAAAAAAAAATAATATGAGAAAATTAAAAACATAAATATCCCAAAAATTCTCTATTTGCTTATTTTATTATTAAAAAAGAAAATGTACATTTTATTTGTATTAATTTATTTAATAAATAGATTATAATCTTACAGTAGAACCCCTTCTTCTTTGTTATTTTGCTATCAAATTCAAAATTTAATATTGTTATTACTGTTACGGAGAGTATAAGTTTTTTTGCATTTTGAGAGAATTTAAAGCAACACTGCTAACATACATTCTCTTATTAAGATATTTAATAATTTTGAAATCTCTGAAACACAATAACTATTGTCATTGAATTGAGAAAATTACCGAAACTTTATAATTTGAATTCTCTGATAGCAATTTAGTGTTGCGCCTATACAGTGGTTTTTATAACAGTTGATACGAGTAGTAATTGATTGTAAGATTGATACAAGTGACAAAATACTTTTACAAAAATTTATTAAGGAATATTTAAATGATTTAAAAGGTTATACAGGTACCTGTTGCATATTTAAGGCATTTTATATACATAATTCTCCATTTATGTAATATTACTCTCCCGCCCCTCCCCTCTCTCTCTCTCTCTCTCTCTATGTGTCTCTCGCGTTTATTATTGTTGTTAAATAATTTCTTCAATATAAAGTAATTTAACTGTATAAAATTTTGTTTTTATGCAAAATACTTTGTTTTTTTTTCATATATACAGAAAATATGTAGGTATATAAATGTTATTTATATGTAAATATTTAAAAAAAAAAAACAAGAAAAACAAAAATCTAAATAAGTAATAGAAGATAAAATAACAAGTCATGCAACAAGTTATTAATAGAAAGAAAAACTTTTTTTTTTCTCTTTCTTTATTATTTTTTTTATTGTTATTGTTATGATTGCTGTGTTGTGCCATTGTGTTGTTGTTGTTCTTTTCTCTCTTGTGTATTATTTTTATTTAAATAAAAAGTTTTAAGCGAATTTCTTTTATATATAAAATTTTTTTTTCTTGTTTTGTGAAAAATAAGACTAGCAAAATGATATTATTGTCATTTTATATAAGAAAATATAAAATTTGTACATTTATCTATGTATGCAGGCATATAGGTACGTTTATATTATTAAAATTTACAAAATGTTACGAAAATTTTTTGTCGTCAGATGGTGCTCTATTTGCTCTCTTTTTTTTCTATTTTTGTTTCTTTTGTACTTTTTATTTTTCTTTAATAGAAAACAGAAATTTATTGAATATTTTTATTTCTTTTCTTATTTTTTTTTTTTTTGATTTTATATATTTTTTCTACTGTATTTATACTGTTATACTTACTGTTATATATACTGTTATACTTAGTGTTTACTAGCATTTTTGCGTAAAGTTTTTGCTTTTTTTTAATAAGGACCGAAAAAAAATATAATTTTATCGAAAGTCAATTACAGCAACAGCCTACATACAATTATTTCGAATAAAAAATTTGCAGAAAAAAAAAAAATATTTTTTTTTATGTAATTTTAATTTTGTTTTATATTTTTGCCACAATTTTTAATTTTATATTTTCTTCGGCTTTTATTTTTTTTTTAATTAAATTGTAAGTAGCAAAAAAATTTAAAATTTTTGCTATAAATTTTTTTGATCGTCTGCCTAGGTATTGGGGCTTTTTGATATTTTTTTAGTTAGCAATAAGTTGAATTTTGCTATAAAATTATTGGTTTTCGGAAACTGGGGATGATTTTAGATTAGCCTAGTAAATTTCAATTTTTTTGAATAGGTACCACATCTATTAATATTGAAATGAGTTTTCAATTATTGCAAATTGTAGAAAAGTTTAACTTTCTTTTGCATTAGACAAATACATATACATATGTATATATTTATGTGGGTGTAAATTTAGTTTTTTATACAGATTAGTAAATCATTAAACTTAACTTTTTTTTTTGAAAAATAATTATCCAATTAATTGTACTTACTTTTAAATAGTTACAATTTTTCAAAAAATTTTCTTATTTTTTAAGCTTATTAATTTTCAACAAAAAGAACGAAAAAAAAAGGATAATAATATTTATATAAAAAAAAAACATCAATTTATATAACGCCCACATTAAATATCATTCATTCGTCGTAATACAAACCCCCCAATACTGCGTGTTTGTTACATACATACATACATAGCATAATAATCTACATAATAATGTAAGTGTATAACAGAAATATTTTGTATCCTATAAGTATGTTAATCTATTTTTATCATTTGATTTTTTTTTTTCATAATTTTTTTTATTTTTTAATATAAATATACAAGAATAATATTAGTATGTATATATATCATATGTATGTATGTATGTATGTAAATATCTAAATATAATTGTATATATGATTTTGATATATTCGCGCTTACCTAATAGTTTTTAATTCATTTTAATGTTATATCTTGTAATATTATATACATACATACATTTAGATCATATTTAAATATTTTATAATAAATATTGTATATATTTATACATACAAATATATGTATGTATAATGAACATTATTTAATATTAAATTTACCATATGAGAGAATTTACATTAATAAATATATTAGAATATTTTTTTAAGTTATAACAAGTATAACACAAAAAAAAAAAAAAAAAATCACAGAAATTATTTTTTGTGTGTTTGTATATCTCGCTGTATTATATATATACATCTGTATATTGTGTATTTAATATATATGTATAGATATATTTTATAAGAATATTATATTGCAAATTAAGTATAACTTAACATATTTACATACAATGTTATACGTATAAAAGTTTGCCAATATATGAGTATATATACTTATATTAATAACAATGAATAAATATGTTTTTTATTGCGGTATATTGGCGTCATCGGCACCTATTTAAAATTTCAATCACGGTCTTCATTTTTTTTTTTTGTTTGCAGTTTTGTTTCTCTTTATTCTTCTTTTATTTCATCATATTTTTTTTTTTTTGATTCTTTCTCATATTTATTTTTTCTCTGTGTTGTTTCACATATTTTTGTTTTTTTTTTCTTTTATATTATTAAATATAAATCATGTGTGTAGGGTGGTGTAATAAAAAGAATATATGTATGTACATACTCGTATACTTAGGTCTATATAAATATTGATATAATATTGATATGAAAATTGATTGTGCCTCTAATGCCCACCTCCTGTTAAATTTCCATATTTTTGCCTATACGCTTATTCTATATATATATACACTCTTATATACACTTGTATTAATGTTGAATAAAATATTTAATATTGATTGAATGAATTATGAATTATTATGATCATAATTTAATGTAAATATACATACAGTGAGCGACATAATTAATCGTACGCATGATAAAAGCGCCCGATTTTGTATTTCTAAAACGTATACGAAAATGAAATTTTGTAGGAACACTTGATTGAATATATGTTTGTGTTCAGCTACAAAAAATTGTGAGAAATGCGAATGAGTAATCCTCAAATTTGCACATTAGTTTTTTTCCTACTTATTTTTGCGACATATTTAATCGTACGATAAATTTAAGGTTATTTTTCTGATGAAAATTTTAGAATTTTATAAAAATTTTGAGTTGTTATCATTCTTAGAGGCAATTTTGAATGCAATGCGTTTATTTTTGTAGAAATTTTAATGGTCAGTATTTAATATTAGTTCGATATGGTTAAAGATAAAGAATCCAGTATTGAGTTCAGAGAACTCGCAATAAAATACCACTCGGAAGGGTTTTCTTTGGGTGAAATAGCTAAAATTCGAAAAGGGAGTAAATCAACTGTTAAAAATTTTAAGAAAACTGGTTCTTTTCGATACAGGAAAAAAACTGGGAGGCCTAGAAAATTGGACAAACGTGAAGAAAGACAAGTTTTAAAAAAAATAAGGCAAAATCCTAAGTTAACTGGTATCAAAATAGCTAAATCAATTTCAGAAAGCTATAAGAAAGAGGATTATAGTCGTACAATTCAAAGAATACGAGTATTAAACAGAAGTGGTTTTCGTGCCTAAGAATATTCTAAGAAAAAAACCGTTTATATCAGATACTAATTAGAAAAAGCGAATGAAATTTGCTAAAAGTCATATTAATTCAGATTTATCTCATTGGAAAAGGGTAATTTTTTCTGACGAGAGTAAATTTAATATTTTTGGACATGATGGGCCATCTAAAATTTAGAGAAAACAAGAGGAGGCACTCAATACAAAAAATTTAGTATCCACTGTAAAACATGGTGGAGGCAATGTTATGGTTTGAGGATGTATATCTTGATACGGAGTTGGAAGTCTTGAATTTATTGATTGCAAAATGGATAAATTTCATTATTTAAATATTCTTAAGGGTAATTTAAAAGAATCGGCTCGAAAAATGTGTTATAAAAATGACTGGATTTTTCAACAGGAGAATGATCCTAAACGTACCTCAGGTATTGTAAAGGAGTGGCTTCTCTTTAATGTATCAAAGCAACTTCATTCCCCTCCAGAATCACCGGACCACAACGCTATAGAGCACATTTGAAATTTTTCAGAAAATCAACTTGGCAAACACAAGATAACTTCCAAGGTTACCCTCAAAACTGCCATTAAACGAGAATGGGAGAATATACCAATTAAATGTTTACAAACTTTGATTGAATCAAAGCTAAATAGATTGCAAGAGGTTCAAAAATGACGTGGTGGCAACACTAAATACTAAACAAGGAATTAGAATTGAAAATCATTATAAATAATTTGGTTAAA